GATTGTATTCTCAAGAACAAGCCTATATCCTTCATTAACATAAAACAAAAAATTCATCAATTATTCTTCTTTTGATAAGTACAAAATGTGATTTATTAGTAGTTTTAGTTACTATAAAAAAACTGAAAATAATGAACGTTACCGACTCTACAGAGCTTCAAAGGACTACAAAAAATAAAATAAAAAACACAGCATAAATCCAAAACTAATACAATATACAAGCAAAATATTGATAGAGAAAACAACTTTATTAAAATGATCTATAATAGCTTGTAAAAACATTGATTGGTGAATGACGCAAGTTAAGAGAATCCACATCCACACGCATTACAAATAAAGAAACTACACACTGACACTGGGAATTCAGTTATTCCTTTTTCGCACCAACAAAATCAAAGTTCCTAACAGTTACAACTTTGCAGACGTTAAGGATCAATCTCAAAAAAAATTGAACAAATGCAAAATCACAAAAATTGCTGTTATGACATCAATTTTTAAATTAAAGTTCACAAAAAGTCAGCTACAAGTCACCACCATAAGCTAAAGGCTGCTTACCCATTCACCCGGGCAAAGGGAGCGGTAGTATTTAGCAAATTTCTCACATTCACCAGAGTTATCACCCTTTGCAGCCAAGCATCTGTTATTAAAATCAATATTAAGTAAAAGATTATATGTAACACTTTCGCAGAAACCAGATAGCCAATGTCAGGAAATCCACCTATGAAACTCTATGTAGCGGGTGAAACAATGTCTGGTTTGATTTGTTGTAGGAAAACGAAAATCGGCTGGTGCTGTTTTTAGTTCAATCTAGCAGGAAGTAACAAAAAAAATATTATGTTAAGGTTAAAAAGACTGCAAATTTGCAGAAGATACCAAACCTGTTGCATTAAAAAAGTCAAAGTCAAAACAAAAATGTATACAGTGCAGCAGAAAGCTATAGGGTGATTTTGTATCTGGACTCTAGTTTAAGCAATGAAATGTGTGCCTGAAAATATATTACCCATTACCCACCCTCCTCAATTCATGAATGAAGAATGGCTTATATGAATGACAACAAAGACCAAAAACACACTTCATTCAGAATCTTAAGGAAATTTGCACTATAGGGGGTCCAATACCGCAAATTAAAGTGAATCAAAATTTAGAAAGTGAGCCAAAAATGCCACGATCAACACTAAAAATATGCCGTTGAATGGCTGCATGGCCTTTGGATGTAAAAAAAAAGATGTGGACAGAAACCCAATCTAAGTAACAAATAGCACTAGATGCAAACATTTCTTTCTGGAATCAAAATAAAAAACAAGAAAAGATTAAAAAGGAAGCATGACACATACCACCATCAAGAAGATGGTTATTTTACAAGAGCAGCAAACTAATAAAACTATTGGCTCAATAATCAGTAGATCTTAACAGTTTGGGATGTTCAAATAGGTGTTTCGATCTAACTGGTCATTCCGGTTTCGGAATTTTCTACTTAAGTCCCACAGTTTTAAGAATGTATAACTGGATTCCAGCGCCTGCCAATAGAAGTTGGCTTCATGAATTCAGTTAATTTTTTCAGAAACCGTAGATGTCAATCAAATACACAACCTGCATCCTATGGTTTTGAAATTTTGAATTCGGATCACAGAATCGGGACCCAAATCTATTTATCAGTCTTGTAACAATAAGACTCGCCACGAAAACAATTTTAAAACTACGAAATTAGGAATCAAAAAACAAACATTTAAGAGATGTAAACACGAAAAAAAGAGGCAGGCAACATCAATACAATTTGGTTTAACCTAAAACTATCTATCAAAAAGGGCACCCCCGGACAGTCTCGTTTTTCTCTTCTACAATCTTAATCTCGATATGGATATTAAATAGCAGAAACCCGAATCTGTAAAATCCAAAATTATCTCTTTCCACATAATGGAGAAAACAAGCAATTCATTACTTGTCGTATGGATAAATATTCAGTGGTAAAATGATTCGATAGATCCGAATAACAGATTACACCGAAGAATATTATAACAAATTGCACTCTTAAATGGCGAAAATAAGAAAACAAAAAAAAATGGAGTATGGGAATCAACTGAAAAGGTAGGTTGTGGTTGGAGTTTGTGTTCAGATATGAATAGTAAAGATCAGAGAAAGTGACGGGAGAAAAGGAAGAGACTAACCCTCGCCATGAGTCAGACACGATCGAAAAATGAAAACCAAAAGAAAGGAGCAATTACAAAATAAATAAATGATAACGAGCGGGTCACATGGGGCCAAAGTAGACCAATTAGAAATTCTGATTCAATGGACATAACAGTAAAAGGTTTCTACTTCTGAACCTCCACAATTTCTATAGCACACCTTTCAAAATTTTAAAACAATTATTGTATCATCTTGTAAAAGTAAAAACTATGCTCTAACGGATTTAATTTTGGAATACAATTTTAAGATTGAATTAGACAAAAATTTCACTTTTTAATATAATATTATAATCATTAAAAAATTATCACTAAATATATACAAATAAAAAAAATAACTTCATGAATCTCGCAACATGTAAGTAATTATACTTATAATTGTGATGAAAAAAGTATTACAGGATTTTCTTGACCACATTTACACGACAGCTAAAGCTTCCTGCACTCCAATCAAATTTCGCCTCTCACCCGATCAAAGCATTCCAGAAAATGTTTTCCGTAAAAATAGGGGTAATTGATTTTCGGAAAAAAGTTTCTAAAATTCTTTATTGTGTTTGGGAAAATAAATTTGGAATAGAAGAAGTGACAGGGTGTTTGAAGAAAATGATAGGGTGCAGGAAGTAATCCGCCCTTGCTTCAGTAAATATCTGAATTTTTTCATCATCATTTTTGTTCTATGGAGAAAACTAGAGTCGGAACATCCATTTTTTTTAAAGGTGTTGCTCCCTCCACCACCCTAAGTATTTCTCTGCATCTTCCACTATTTTCTTTTATTCTAAAAATACTTTACATTTTTTTCACTATTTTCTTTTATTCCAAAAATACTTACAACTCACCACTATCCTCAATAATCTTTCTCTTTTTCTCTTTGCATTAATGGAGCATTCATATAGCTTAGATTTAAACTTGTGATATATTACAAAATATAAAATTCAAAGGAAACTTCAATATCAGTGCTTCTACTACTTCTATTTTATAAACTTAAAAGTTAGATGCAAATACAAAATAATAAACATAATAATATTAATAGTAAATAATATATTATTATTATTATTATAATATACTAACTTTATAATGACGAAATAACTAAATAAATTCTAAATCTTTAACAAACAACTTTTCTTTTATATTTTAAGTATTTAATAATATTTTTATATTATTTATCTAATAAATTAAATACTTTATTCAAGTTATTTGAGTCAAACATGTCGGTAAGTTAAAACATAATATAATGTTAAAAATTATAGATATTAAATGTAAAAAAAACACACATATATATAAACATTTTTCTAGAAATTTAGAACAAAATTTTACCATTTATTAAGTAATTTGAAGAAGAAGAAAAATATTGAACAGTGAAAATAAGATTGAATCAAACTTATTTAAGGGAAAGTGTAAATAAAATTTTGCAATATATCACAAGTTTAAATCTGAGCCATGTGAATGCTCCATTAATGTGGAGAGAGAAAAAAAAAGATGGTTGAATATAGTGGGGAGATGTAGAATATTTTTGGAATAAAAAAAAATAGTGGAGAGGTGTACAATATTTTTGGAATAAAAAAAAATAGTGAAAAAGTGCATGAGCACTTGGGATGGTGGAGGAAGCAACACCCTTCTTTAAATACGAAAAACAGCCCATTTTAATCGTAAGTATTGTTTTTGGACAAAATCACTATTGACTATTAAATATATGAAGTGTTCTTACACATAAAAATATATATATATATATATATATATATATAAACTCTAACAAACACTTAAAACTCAAAATTTCCAACTTCAGGATTTTTGTCCTCTTTAAGGATACTTGTCGTCTTGTATTCGAATTATGTATGCAGAAGAAGCTCGTATCAGTCAAAATGCGTTAGTAGGTAATAAATGTGGTCATTAATGAATATAAATTGTTATCTTGTAAATTGTATTATTTATGAACTTTTAACCAAAATGAGTATGGTCCATGTAGCTAATTACTTAAAATAATCTTTAATTAATTAATGTGCTTAATCACGATCTTAAAGTAATTAATTCAGTAAACACTTAATCACAATATGTATTTGAGTGTGAGATCACGACAACAAGTAATCAATCAAGATGTACATAGACGTATAGGATACATTAGCCTCCCAGGATCAATGTGCCTGTACTCAAACCTTATGTCTGCGGCTGTGGTGTCGACTTCTAATGTCGCATAGTGAAAAATACAGCACTCACGAGAAATCAATGGATAAATATTTGGTAGGCTACTGATAGTATCCAGCACTCACGAGAAGAAAATTGAACTTCTCAGGAAGCAGCGATCTTGAGACCCTTAGTAATACAGATGACTGAGTACCAAACAAAAACCAAGTTGAATTATATAACTCATTCAACTCTTACATATAACATTTGTTTTGGCAAAGTTACTTATGTATTTCTCTTCATCACGTCAACTATCTTATCCTACACCTTTTTTTTCTTATTTATCTTTATTAGATAAAAAGATTGTACATATACTGTTCATCTAAAATTCAAGTTTTATGCCAGGGCTTGGAAATTTTATTAGTTTCCTTGCTACCATCAATAGTGATTTGCAACAATTTCGTCATGCTGGATGGAAAGTAGAACGTGAGCATGTTTCATATGCACTCCGAAACTAGGATTGCGATCTTCAGACTAAAAACATCAGAATAGTATCATATAGCTTATTAAAAAGGCCATGCTTGACTAGAATTTCAATTCATTCTACCGTCAGTTTTGTTTGAGACAGGCCTTTGGACTCTCCAATTCGTAGATTTGATTCAAAAAATTGTATTATATCAAATGCAAAGGACCTAAAAATAAAACCACCCAATCTGTCAGATTTTACATAGAAAAAAGCCACCAGTTCCCATGTACTTTACAATCAAAAGCTCAATTCAAGCTGCATTTGATTTAACAGAAAGAAAACCGTTTCACCTCCGACCAACTGAGGGATCATATGGACTTGACCAAAGACCACCACTAACACCAGAACTATTGACAGCTGCTACTCCATTGCTATCACCAATTGGTACCACACCCTCTGCTCCTTGGCCAGAAGCCATCTGACTATGAGTTCTCCCATAAGCATCAACAAATGGACCACTGCTTTGTCCAGGGGTGGAAGCCCTAAACAGATCAGGTGCTGTTTACACAGTAAGAATGCATTAGAAACATATATGTACAAAATATCGCATGAACAGACTACAACACAATGAAGCAAGAAAGTTACCATGTACTCTTTTCTCGGCATTCAAAATCTCAGCTCGTAACATTTCTACTTCTCTTGCCATTGCTATTAGATTCTTCTCTTTTGCTTTCATGTAATCCACTAGCTCTATGTTTTTCTTCTTTTCATATTCAAAGGTGCCACTGTCACCCAACCGGATTATAGGAATTAATAGATAAGTTACAAAATACAGAGAAACAAACTGCAAAAATGAAAATATGCACCAAGATGTGCAGGAATGCCCAATATTTATGAATTTAGGTATACAATAGCACCCATGCATAGCAAATCCTGACTTAAAGCTTGATTTGATAAATGTGAATACACTTCAGTAAATACTCACTGTTGGGGAATCCACCATACAATTTTTTAACTAATTTTAATTCCGTTGTATGACAGCCTCACCTTAAATATGACAATATCAACAGAAGACTCCTCTATAATGTCACTCCCAATACCCACTTCAAAGAACATCTCATATCATGAAAGCAATCAGATACTACAAAGATTATGCCTTGCTTGACTTGGGAAACATTCTCTATTTTTGTTTCTTGTAATCATAAGTATTTACAAGTGTCATCGTATTTTCAAATATTTGCACAGAAAAAGTGAAAACAAGAAACATTATGTAAATAAAGTGCCATTTTTGCAATTATATTGTGAAAACAAATAAAAACCGATACAGAAGATATTTTCTCAAACTAAACAGACTTTCATAGTGAAATGAAAGGAATAATTCTTGTCAGCAGCATTTGGGTTCTTGCATGAGCAAAACCCAAGATAAATAAATTTCTATATGATTTTTCTTCTTTTATTTTTATTTTGATAGTGGCTGTACAAAATATGCAACTTGGACTTATAAATGTTAGTGTATGTCATTCTTAACGTTATATCATTAGCAATAAAAGCCTTTCGCAAGAGGAAGGATTGGCTACACAGATCAAGGTTATCAATGGTAATGGAGGAAGGCCAAACTATGGCTATGCCACAGTGGCCCCACTTCTCAAATTATCCAAGGCAAAGGAGCTGAAAAATGCCACTTCATTGCGTTATCCCAAAAACAATAATGG